CCAAAATATAATTTTACTATTTCTATTTTCCAGCTAAGCTCAACTTAATCAAATTGACCTAAATTTTATCTAAATCTCTTATTCTAGTATAGTGTCTTTTGTATCGTTCTATTATTGTGAACTAGTCATGTTTCTCTTCATGTGATTTTAACAGTTAAATTTACAAAGAACTCAACAAATAGAGATTCAATAGATATCACGAGATTGGACTATGTTATTTTGTAAGAGTTAAGATTGAATATGTCATAGTCGAATTAATGTAGCGTTGTAAATATCTGAAAATTTCGGGTTCGGTTAGAACCGAACCGGACCATGCTCAGCCGAACCGGACCATGCTTAGCCTAATATTTTCTTCTCTTTTTCCTCAAAACAAAAAATGGGAAAAAATATTATTATCTCAGAAGAAAAACACTTTCTGTGGCTGTGCTTTTTTCCCAGGTACTGTTTTAGATATTTCTGACGCAGTTTTCAACCGTATATAAGATCTGCCCTTTACTATGAAGTAAATATAATTGAGATAGAAACATCGAAGAAATAGTAGGATATATATAGTTCTTCTAAGTCTAAAAATTATAAAGAGAAACACCTTCAGATTTATAGAGATACCAACAGTAAGGGGTATAGGAGGGGTATTATCTGAGTTTCGTCAAAATCTGTCAGCATATATGTATATGCATACATAAATAGATGTAATGCTAGACCCAATTATGATTGCAATTCTATCAAATTAGTCCTGACAGTAAGTGCTACTTAACGAAAAAGGGAGGAAAAAGAGGAGGAAAATGCAAACCTTATTAGGACAATTCATTGGCATTTGGCTTGATTGCTGCAGATATTCAAGGCCATAACGAAAACCTTCTTTGTAAAGGCCTAATCCGTTCTGTGAATTTGGGCTTATAAAATTTCCATTAAATTTTGAAGCTGTAAGGAGATCTAGTGCCTGCAAGTTCATGTCCATATTGCCTGAATTCGCTAATGGTGCCGACTGCAGATTGAAATTTGAAACATTTATGCTTGGAAATATCTGACTGAAACCCCTTCCACTCTGTGTTGATCCATTAATTCCTGTGCTTGAAGAGTTGGGGTACAAATTTCCTGGAGAAAAATTATGCCGGCCATTTAAAAGATTTCCAGAAGAAAATGGTCTAAGCAGAAGCTTCGCGCTGAGATCCTTCAATGGCAAATCTCTTAGCTCATTATTGTTATTGTAGTTCGAGGGATTTACGCGAAAATCTTCAATTCTTGATGATTGGCTGTTTAAAATCTCTGTGAAATTAGGGTTGAAATTATCTGAAAATTCTCCCTTAACTCTTCCGGATTGTAAATTTCCTGCAGGATTATCCCATTGAAATAATCCAGTTTCTGGAGTCATGGAAATATTCCAGGAAGAGAGTGAAGAGAGTGGATTCTGGTTTTGCTGCGCCTGCCTTGGATTTATAATGCCTCCATTAGGGTATGAACTGAGGCTATCTGAGTCTCTGCAAAATCAGTTATGTTTCTGCAAAATCAGTTACGGGAATCACTTGAATTTCAAGCCCTAGTTTTCAAGCCGAAAACTTTGAAATATTAATTGTATGTTGTATGTGATTGATGCACATCAAATCACACTAGAATATAAGTAAAAGAAAAGAGAAGATACCAAGTGCTAAGAATAATAATAATATTAAACCAAGATTCTGCAGAAAGTATAGCCAACCAAGATTCTGCAGAAAGTATAGCCAACCAAGAATCGTAATTGATTGATTTACATGTCTATTTAAAAAGCTCAGTTGATCATTTTTGTTGAAGTTCCCAGTTTCGAGAGAGAAGTATAGATAGATATCGAAAGAGAGAGAGAGAGACTTACGAAATGGTGTTAGGAGTCCAAGATTGAGAGCTTCCAACTACATAGCAAGAAGTAGAGCCAACAAGTTGATGATGATCTTGAGGATGATGTTTCTTTTGTTGATGAATATTTGCAGACTCCATAATGATGTGATAATTCTTTAAACACTTGAAAATCCCAAGATTAATAATAAATATTTAAACCTAATCTCTTTCTCCCCTCTTTCTCTCTCTAGATTCAAAGAAATAGTATTTCAGGTGCCACACCCAAAACACACACTCTCCTTTGCTTTTAGCACCTTTTCATATACAAGTTTCCTCTTTACTCTTTCAGTCTTTTGCCTTAAAGCAGCATTGAAATGAAAGGAAGAGAGAACATATATCAATGACTAAACCCTTCTATTCAGCCCTCAAACAAACAGTTTTTTATTTTCTTCTTCTGTCAAAACTTTTTGTAAAAAACAAAAATACTCTCTCTCTCTCTCTCTCTCTCTCTCTCTACCTACACTCTGCAATTACAGGAAGATCATTATAGTTTCTCCGTGCCATGATTAAGATCCCTGCCTTCGATCCCAAGGCTTTTGACAAAAGTCTGTGGAGAGAAATGATGCAGCCATGCGGGATCTCTCTATAGCCCTCTCTTTCTCTCTCACATCCACAAGTTAGTAGTCTTTCTATTTGTATTCAGAAGAGAGGTGTCCCAAAAAATGGATGATCTGTTTGGCTGTGTTCTTTCTTGTGGTCCAATAAAAATCATTAATTCTTCTAAGGTTATATAGAGATAATAATGCTCAATCCCAGAGAAAAAAAAAACAGATGAAAATGAAGGTATGGTCCATAGGATAATTTCACCTTAAATAACTCAAAATGTGAGAAAACATTATTTGGAGATTAAGCCATTAGAAATTATTATAAGCTTGTCTCTTTGTTGGTCAATATGCATTAGGCCAAAAGAGAAAAAGATGGAAAAAAGTCCTTCATTACAATGATTTTGTTTAATAACTTAGTATGTTTTACCCTTTGCAGATCACCACAAGTTTTAAATTCCATCACTAACCATCAATATTGACACGGTTTTCATCTAATGGAAATAATATATTGGTGGTGATTTAGCGATACGTATAAGTGGAGTTTGTAATTGAAGGCTCTTTTTTGGTTAGTGTTAATTGAGTCGAGCTATAAAATTAGTAGATTTAAGATATAAGATCCTTTTGTTTAGTGACACTAGATGGTAGTCAACCTAGACGACTAGCTAGTGATGATGAGGGATTGCGAAAGGAATAAGTCTACATGTACATAATGATTATACATGGAGATATACATAATACTCACAAGAGGATGGGGTCCACTCGAATATTTTATTAGAATAGATCCCATCTATGTGAGTGTTATGTATACCACCATGTACATAAATTATGTACGCTAAGCATATCTCTTGCGAAAGGTAACAAAAAAAAAAAGGAAATGTCACTTATACATCTTTTTTGACATTATGCTTGACATGACAAGTGTTGGCAAGTGTTGAGTGAGACATTGAGTAAAAAAACTGTCAACAATTTAAACTGTCCAATGGTATATAGCTACGTGATAAAATGTAAATAAAGATAAAAAATGTGATGTACATGTAGCATGATTGCAAAAATAAAGGAGGGTGGCGATAATGGTTTGAAGAACAGTAATAAATTAAAGATGTAATTAAGAGCATGAAAATTTTGATCGCAATAATTCATGTATACTGTTCCTCTTTTAATGTTATTTACTAACAAAATAGAAAAGTAAACTAGAATAATTATTTAATTTTAAAGTAGTTTTAAATATTGCTTCTTTAAAAATGTATATTAAGAGTTAACACTATTAATTGCTAACTAAACATGTCGCTGTACAAACTTTTTCCAAGTATATACAAAAAATCATATATATTAATTCCAACTATGAATAATCTTAAATATCACTTTTTGTTTCCTCTTCTTGTTTTATATTCCAAGTATGCAAAAATCTAAATTTTGAAGCATAAACGCAAAAATTAGAGATAATTGCAGTAACGGTACTAAACCTTTCATTTAGTAGCAAATTTTATCCAAACATTTCATCTGTGATATCCACGGCACCAAATCTTTCAAAAATTAGCACGTAGAGTCCAAATAGATGTTCCTATCAGTTTGACCGTTAGTTGGACCTTAACAATAGTTTTGACTAATTTTAAAATGTTAAAATGATAACTTTACATTTTTTTATAATAAATTAACTAAAATCAAATAATTAAAATTAAAAATCAAAAACTAACTTTTTCTTCTTCATTCACCCCACACACACACACCCACCCCACCCCACCCCACATCACCACCACTACCGAACAATTCAACGCACCCACCTAATGCCGACGTCACTGCCATCTCCTCCACCTCCAACACACCACAACATCTCCCTTCATCTTCTGAAGGGTGCGGCATTGGACTGGGAATGAGAATAGTAGGCAAAGAGAAGTTCAATGGTTCACCATGGAATCGCCTCAAAATGGTGTTGGTGCAGTATTGGCATCGGGTTCGAGTACGGGGCACAGAATAATTGGCGATAAGGTTCGTCATTCCCTTTTAAACCTCTGTCATTTCTCTTCCAAATACACACACTGACTTTGATCACTCGCCGCAATTTCATATCAAGAAATATCCTACAAAGTCAACAATGAATTTTATAAAAGAGCAAGAAAATAGTATTGTTGCTGTTGATACTAAAGATCGCACGAGCGACTTCTGCGAAGAAACCGAGGCCCTTTTGTACTATAGAGCTGATTCCACTAAGCTCTATTTGGGTTGCGACAGGGAAGTGAACTTGACAAACCCATTGTTCAACAAACACACACGTTGTCTCCTTTGCGAAAATGTGATTCTTCGCGTGTTTCTATATATTGTTGTACTGAATCCTTGGTGCTTTGTCAGAACTATTGATTGGGAGAAGCATGATAATTTGGCGTTAATCCACGATCATCGTCCAATTGAGAGGTTTATTGGGTGCCCATCAGTGAGTGAGTTGATGAGTATATTAGGGTTTTAAGATTTAGGGAAGAAATATTTGTTGGGTGATGGGAATGAAAGTGGAAATTAGGGGTGTCCAAAAGTCTCGAACCGAATCGAGTGGTTCTTCACAAGTTAAATATCCGAACGGGTACTCGAATCGAGAACCGATGAGTTTGGATCGGATCTCGAGTCTAGACCAAGA